TCATCTCTCCCTATATATATATATATATATATATCCTATGTATTTAACTCTTTTAATATAAGATGCGCTTTTTAGTATTCCTGTTGGCACAAGCAAGTGATAATTATATATACATACATAATGTATATCTCTATTTCTAAAACACAATGTGTGGAAGACTTCAAATTAACACCTAAAGTATTAACAAAATCCAGATTCTAAGATTATCAATTATAAAAATATATATTTCCAATAGTTTAGTTATACATACATATCTGTAATTTTAATTTGCTCTAAACACAATCGGCGATAAAATCGCAAGCTTGGTAAATTTAGATGACAATAACAAAATCATAATAAAAAGAAAATTAAAGAAAACCCATCATTTTGACGCATTTCGTCAAAGAACGTGCGACGCAATATTTCATTTATTTAAATATTTTTTTGTCAAATTACGAATTAGAGGAAATCAAAATCTCTGGGAATGTGTCAACCCACCAATCACAGTGCGACACATCATTTTTGTCTCCCCAGTCAATATAGTATGATTCCAAATAGAATCATCCGTATAGATAAATATAATATCTTAATTATGTATAGTTAATATCCGTATAACAATGTTTTAGAGAGTTGAGTTCCGTTGAATGAAACATATTTAATCTTCGAAATACAAAAAAGGCATGATAATTGCACTAATTGCGTAATTAAGGGGGAGACTTGTGAGCTTAATACTTGCATTTCGAAACAAAGATAGGTGAAAATCAATATTTTATTTTTTTTGTTTCCCGAAACAAAATAATATTATTGGCAAATTTTCTCGTATACTAATTTTGATCAAACGAATATTGTATGCTTGGTTGCTAACAAAAAAAAACATGACGAACCCAGAAAAAAAAAAGGAAGAAAATGAGTGTTGCATGCTATACAAATGGGCCCATGATACTTAAGTGCTCGCTAAGGCTCATTATATAGGCCGGTCGAGTCAGCCCATTTTCAGGCCCATTACTTTGGTCGAACCTACAACGAGCTTCTATTCTAGTCTATATTATATATATTATATATATATATATATATATATATATTGGTGCGCAAAGTATTATTCGGCAATTTGTTAAATGAGCAAAGTATGAATTATATCAGAATATCTCCGTTATTAAAGTCAACTAAAAAAGAATGCGAGAATATTTCGGTTTACATGCTTTACAACACATGGATTTTAGTAAAATATTGATTTTAGTAACTAAAATCCAAATACCAGGAAATTAAATTATTTAAGATGTAATAACGTATTTTAGTTCTGTATAGTAAATAATTTAATGTTGGTTATGGAGTGGTCGTATAAAATATTGGATATTATTAGAGATTTAAACCAATGGTCTAATGTTCATTTAACCTTGAATCGATTTTCTAGATATATTAAGTATTATTTTAAGTTTCAATATTGAATTTTTATATTAAGATTTTTTGGAAGAATATAGGAAATGTGGATTTGATTCTGATAACGAATTTGACCCGATTAGAAGCATCCGAAGTGCACTTACTATATTTCACATAAACAAAACTAGGGTAAGATATTTATGATATTGATTTGGTTATTTTGGGGGTAAAATTTCTTATTTTTAAAACATTATAGTTATTTAATTTTTACATTAGCTTTTGTTTTGAATTTAAAATTTATTAAAAATATTTAGAAATAGTCGTTTCATTTTCAAAACTTTATTATCTTTAATTTATATTCAACTAATTTTATTTTAAAAAATTTATCTAATCTTTAAATCGAGTTTCTTTTAAATATAAATATATATTATTTAATTTAATAAGGTCCGATAGAATAATTTTTAGAAAATTAAACAAGGGAATGATTCCTTATTTTTCAAATAATTAATTTAAAAATTATTTGGGATAATCCATAAGATGTGCCTTCGGAATCGACATTATTTTTTTCAAAGATTATACATACTTTTGATAATATTCTCTCATCCATAAAAATGGACCAACAGTCGAGATTCCTCTCTATAAATATAGAACTATTTTACCAATGACTTAGAAAATATAAAGGCCCTTTTTCAATGAAGAGAATACAAACTTTATTCCCCATTCATCGATTTGGGCATCGCAGAACAAATTCTCATATTTACCAATTGATTTTCGAGTTTTTTTTTTGTTTCAAACAAATAAAATACAGTAGATACTCACATTCATACGTGGACAAATAGTATTGGCTAATGAAATTCATAGTGAAAACTTTAACGATTAAAAGTAAAGATACGACAATTAACGCATTATTAATACATAAAATAAAAATTCTTATATTATATTATTAGATTGCATGTTTTGATGTTATGTTATATTATTCGAGAATGAGAAGAAAAACAATTGAAAAATGAAGTGCAAAAACACACAACACAAGGGTTGACTTGAAGCTGAGGCTGGAGAGGGAGGGAGGGGGCAAATTTGTCTCTTTAGGGAAAGGCCAGAGATAGACTTTGTAATGGGCCCATATGACCCACATTTCATGGGCCCACTTAAGAAGCCCATTAACTTTTCCTCCGTGGCACAATTCCAATGAAATGCAATATTTTGTAGTATAAAGATTTTATTTTAATATTTTTTGTTATAGTGGATGATTGTTTTAAAATAATGTGCTCATATTAGATTATGTTTATAAAATAACGCATTATTCTATTATCTAAGTGTATTCGCAAACAGTACCATAACGATTCTCTTCTTCGTCGTCTTCATAATATGCCGTTCATGAAACCAACGCTAAGTCGATACTCTCTGTCTCTGTTTTCTTCTCCGACGTAGCGAAAAAAAAAAAAGAAAAAAAGATGAGAGGTTTCGATCATCGTCGTCGTCTTCATCCTCTGCTGCTGCTGCAACTGTACGTCGTTTCGATTTTCGCGCTTTTTCTCACACCATGCTTCGCTTACACTGACATGGACGTACTCCTCAAGCTCAAATCCTCCATGATCGGACCCAACGGCTCCGGCCTCCACGACTGGGAATTCTCCTCTTCTCCGGCGGCTCACTGCTCCTTCTCCGGCGTCTCCTGCGACGTCGATGGTCGCGTTGTCTCTCTCAACGTCTCCTTCACTCCTCTCTTCGGCACGATTCCACCTGATATCGGGATGTTGAACCGTTTGGTGAATCTGACCTTGGCTGCGAACAATTTCACCGGTAGATTGCCTTTGGAGATGAGGAATCTCACCGCTCTGAAGTTCCTCAACGTGTCGAACAACGGCAATCTCACCGGGAACTTTCCCGGCGAGATTCTCACGGGGATGACGGAGCTTGAAGTACTCGATGCGTATAATAACGGCTTCTCCGGGAAGCTCCCGCCGGAGGTCCCGGGGCTTAAGAAGCTGAAGCATCTCTGTCTTGGCGGGAATTTCTTCGAGGGAGAGATTCCGGAGAGCTACGGGCATATCGAGAGCTTGGAGTTTCTAGGTGTCAACGCTAACGACCTCACCTGCGAAACGCCGTCGTTTTTGTCCCGGCTGAAGAATCTGAGAACCTTGGTCATCGGTTACTTCAACAAATACACGGGAGGAATTCCGCCGGAGTTCGGCGAGTTGACGAAGCTCGAGTACCTCGACATGTCGAGCTGTACCCTCACCGGCGAGATACCGGCGAGCTTGGGGAATCTGACGCGTTTGCATACTCTGTTTCTTCAGATCAACAATCTCACCGGAAAAATTCCGCCGGAGCTTTCTGGAATGGTGAGCTTGAAATCATTGGATTTATCCGCCAACCAACTAACTGGAGAGATCCCACAGAGCTTCTCCACTCTCCGGAACATCACTCTGATCAATCTGTTCACGAACAATTTTTACGGTGAAATCCCATCCTTCATAGGAGATTTCCCGAATCTCCAGGTTTTCGAGGTGTGGGAGAACAATTTCACGTTCGAGTTGCCCGCAAATCTCGGCCGGAGCGGGGAGTTGCAGAAGCTCGACGTTTCTAACAATCATCTCACCGGATTGATTCCTAGGGATTTGTGCAGGGGCGGGAAGTTGCAGATACTGATTCTCTCGAACAATTTCTTTTTCGATTTAATACCGGAGGAGCTTGGCGAATGCAAGTCTCTGACCAGAGTGCGGATCGCGAAAAACCTACTTAACGGTACGGTTCCGGCGGGATTCTTCAACTTGCCGGCGGTGACGATCATTGAACTCACGGACAATTTCTTCTCCGGCAAATTACCTGCCGGGATGTCCGGTGACCAGCTCGACCAGATCGACCTCTCGAATAATTGGTTCGCCGGCGAGATTCCTCCTTCAATTGGCAATTTCCCAAAGCTCAGGAAACTATCCATGGACAGGAACCGATTCCGCGGCGAAATCCCCCGAGAAATATTCGATTTGAAGCATCTCTCGACGATCAACATCAGCGCGAACAACATCACCGGCGAAATCCCTCCCTCCATCACACGCTGCACCTCCTTGATCTCCGTCGATATTAGCCGTAACAGTCTCGCCGGCGAAATCCCCAACGGAATCGTGAATTTGAACAACCTCGGCATCCTGAATTTGTCCAGGAATCAACTCACCGGCCACATCCCCACCGAGATCGAGAACATGACGAGCTTAACCACTCTCGATCTCTCCTTCAACCTCCTCACCGGAAAAGTCCCAGTCGATGGTCAATTCATGGTCTTCAACGACACATCCTACGCCGGAAACCCACACCTCTGCCTGCCCCACCACGTCGCGTGCCCGTCACTCGCCGGCAAAGCCGCTGGCGAGGGTGAAACGTCGTCGTTCTCAGCCTCGAGGGTCGTAATCACGATTATCTCCCTAATCACAGTCTTAATGGTGATTAGCGTAACGGTCTACAAAATCAACAAGAGAAAGCATCAAAGATCATGCGCGTGGAAGTTAACCGCGTTCCAGAGACTAGAGTTCAAAGCCGAGGACGTACTCGAGTGCCTCAAGGAAGAGAACATCATAGGCAAAGGCGGGGCTGGGATCGTATACCGCGGGTCCATGCCAAACAACGTGGACGTTGCGATCAAACGCCTCGTGGGCCCGCGCGGGACTGGCCGCAGCGACCATGGGTTCGCGGCCGAGATCAAGACGTTGGGACGAATCAGGTACAGGGGATTTTGGTTAAAAAAAATATTGTGAGACACTTATTATTATTGAAGTCCAAGATCACGTTACCAACTGATGGTCATTTCGGTATTGATTCGATTATTTTTTAAACGGATTTTTTTGGTTTTAAAAAATTTATATCCGTTCGATTTCAATCTTGGATTTGGTTCGTTTCATATTCATTTCTCATATAAAGATATTAAATTTCTTAATAAATGTTTCGTTTTTCAATTATTTTTATATATGGTTCGGATTACAATTATCATCTAATGCACTTTTTTTTTTATAATGACATGATATTTTTGCTTTTTCCAAATTTCTCTCTATATTTTTTTATACTAGGCATCGCAACATCGTGAGGCTGCTCGGGTACGTTGCGAACAAGGACACGAACTTGTTGCTTTATGAGTACATGCCCAACGGGAGCCTTGGGGAGCTATTGCATGGATCGAAAGGCGGACATCTTCAATGGGAGACGAGGTATAGAGTTGCCGTTGAAGCCGCCAAAGGGTTGTGTTATCTTCACCACGATTGTTCGCCATTGATATTGCACCGTGATGTCAAGTCCAATAACATATTGTTGGATTCCGATTTTGAGGCACATGTTTCCGATTTTGGGCTCGCTAAGTTCTTGGAAGATGGAGCTGCTTCCGAGTGTATGTCGTCCATTGCTGGATCCTACGGATACATCGCCCCAGGTATGACAATTTCTCTGTATGAAAATGAACGAACTCCAAATTTAGTTTTTCAAAAAAAAAAAATAGATATCCGGTTAAGTTAGGATTCAGAATATTTTGAAGAATTATTTGTTTACGTTGTGTATGATATAGAATATGCGTACACGTTGAAAGTGGATGAGAAGAGCGATGTGTACAGTTTCGGAGTGGTGCTATTGGAACTGATAGTAGGGAGAAAACCCGTGGGAGAGTTTGGTGATGGGGTGGACATAGTGAGGTGGGTAAGGAACACGGCCGCCGAGATACCTCAACCGTCGGATGCGGCCACGGTGATAGCGATCATCGATCCGAGGCTTTCGGGGTACCCGATAACGAGTGTGATTCACGTGTTCAAGATCGCGATGATGTGCGTAGAGGACGAGGCCACGGCTCGGCCGACCATGAGAGAGGTCGTCCATATGCTCACCAACCCTCCTCACTCTGTTACCAGCTTCATCACTTTCTGACTTGACGAAGCATGGACCATGTTTCTCCCTTTTATGCTAAATTAATTTAAGATTTGGAAGTGGTTATTATCATAGTTTTGGTCGGTCCATGTGAAATACTCGGTATTGTTATACATATTTATATTTCAGTTTGTATATTATGTATTGTTATACGGTGTTTCGATCTAGATGATCATTTCATTGAACAAAACGCATTTTTGTAAAGAAATTTTCTATTGTTCAATTATTTTTGTATTCGGTTTAAGCTTTTTGTTTTCACTTTTACAAAAATTATAGTTTTATATCAAAATCTATTAGAATACGCTTATATATATATTTTTTTTAAAAGATATCGATCATACGACGCAAAAGGAGTCGATCGTGTTTAGGTTTAAGTTTGTTAATTAGTTATATAATTAATCGTAAGATCATTTACTTGATTAATTAAAAATTATGATAATGATTACAAGTTTCCCGCCTCAATATTTCGTTCTGATCCGTTTTTCACCGAATCACGACACAATCTTTTCTGTTATCCTTCAAGTTTTATCTCTAGGGTTTCTGTGTTCTTCAGTTTCATCTGCTGCGCTTTGAGCCTTCTTCTTCTTCATCATCTAGAGAGAGAGAGAGAGAGCGTATGAACATCATGAGGATATATTACACTTTCTTCATGTGTTTATGTTTGGTTTTAAATCCATGTGAAGCTGCTTCAACCTTCATTTCGCATCAATGGGTTGTCTCTTATTCCCAACGTTCGCTTCTTGGAGCCGAAAAACAGGTTTCTTATTTTCTACATCTCTCATATGTGTATGTGTGTGTACGTTATAGAAAAAGATATCCATATTTGCCTATGGTTATATATACGGCGAACAGATCATAGTGATCAATGGCATGTTCCCCGGACCGCTTCTCAACGGGACAACAAACGACGTTTTCAACATCAACGTTCACAACAACTTGACCGAACCCTTTCTCATCACATGGTATAACCTCATCTAAACCGAACCGAATATGATTTTAATCAAATATTCGGAGTTTTTTTTTTTGGGTTCATAACGACCCTACTTGGATTGACGTTACAGGAATGGCGTTCAAATGAGGAGAAATTCATGGCAAGACGGCGTACGAGGAACAAACTGCCCGATACCTCCCGGAAAGAATTGGACCTATAATTTTCAGATAAAGGATCAGATCGGAAGTTACTTTTACTTCCCTTTTCTTCTCCTGCAAAAAGCCGCCGGAGGGTTCGGTCCGATCCGTCTCAACAATCTAGATTCCGTCCCGCCGCCGTTCCCTCGCCCCGACGGCGAGTTCGACGTCTTGATCGGAGATTGGTTCAATTCTGATCATAGGGTAATGCCAACAAAAAAAATTGTATATATCAAACGTATTTTGTATTTTTTATATTAGTCGGACCATAGTTTTAGATACATTATATTCGATATAATAAGTATAGATTGAATTGGTTTTACAACTTGTTTTTTTATAGGATCTAAGGGCTTCACTTGACACAGGGATCAGTTTGCCGATGCCTGATGGTATTCTTATCAATGGGCTTGGGCCCAAAGAGGCTGTCTTTGATTTTGAACCTGGTGACTATTTTTTTTATTTTATTTTGTATATATATATATATATATATATTATTTTTTTATTTGGTTTTTTGTTTTGTTTATTTTTTTTGGGTGTGTCAATGTGACAGGTAAGACATATAGGTTGAGAATATCAAATGTGGGGTTAAAAACATCGTTAAACTTCAGGATTCAGGGACACGACATGCTTCTCGTTGAGACAGAAGGTTCATATGTTCAGAAACAGCATTATGACAGCTTGGATGTCCACGTGGGCCAATCGTATTCCGTTCTCGTCACCGCCAAGGAAAAAATCTCCAACACATCCTACTACATGATTGCCACTTCCCGGTTTACCGAATTCAACATGTCCGGTTTAGGTTTGGTTCGTTACCCGAATTCCACTCATAACCCGGTCGGACCGGTTCCTCCCGCTCCTGGGCCTTATGACTACGCCTTCTCCGTTCAACAGGCCCAATCAATAAGGTATTGAATAATATCTTTTTTTTTCCTAAATTAATTTTAGCAAAAAACGTTAATGTTAAAAATGTTTTTTCACTATTTTATACATTTTAAAAAGAAAATATTTATAAATTAAATTATATAACATATTAACAGGTTGGATTTAAACGTTGGAGCGGCGAGACAGAATGCGCAAGGCTCGTTCCATTACGCAGACATCAACGTCTCAAGAACGTTAGTCCTACGAAACGACGTCGTGCTAAATTGGGAGAAACTCCGTTACACAGTTAACGGCATCTCTTTCGTACACCCTGAAACGCCGTTAAAGCTCGCCGATCATTTCCAACTAAATGACACATTTACCCCTGATCTCTTTCGAGACTTTCCTCCCGAAACCCCCCCGAGTTTGGGCACGGCCGTAGTTGATGTCTTGTACGAAAGTTTCCTCCACATAGTGCTCGAGAACCCTCTCGAGGATTTGCAGAGTTGGCACATGGATGGACACAATTTCTTCGTCGTCGGGTAATACACGATCGATCTATCATAATTCTCCGTGTTATTTCATGAATATGTGACGATATTGACAAGGGTTTTATGCATTTGGGATTTTGTTTCGGTTCCATTCGGTTATTTTTGAAAAATCGGAAAACTATATTAATTCGATTTTTATATTGAATTCTGCTCAAATTCGTATTTTTTTCTTTTTTCGGTTATTTCTATATTTTATGTGAATTGATTTTTATTCATACAATTTTATTTTTGATTTTTTTCTCAGTTATTCCTATATCTTATCTGAATTGGTTTTTATTGACAAAAATGTTCATTTTTAAAGAAAAATTCTTCTATATTTCGTTTTTATAATTAAAATCGTAAAGTTTTTTAAAAGTTTTTTTTGTATCATGTCAAATTTCATATAGATTCTATATATTTTTTTCTAAAATGATATAGGTATTGTACAATTATATATTATTCGGTTCGAATCGGTTCAATTTTACATAACCGAACCAAATTAACGAAACATGAATGTAACGATATTTCTTTTATGTGAGCGTTAGAATGGGATTTGGAGCATGGTCGTGGAGCAATGGTGTGACATATAACCTAGTCGATGCAATTTCTCGGTCCACAGTCCAGGTAAGTCCATAGACCAAAATGGACATTAATACATTATATGCAAAAATCGAAGGTTATTAATTAAAACATATATTTATTTAAATACATATTTTTGTTGGATAGGTGTATCCATATTCATGGACCGCGATTCTTGTAGCAATGGATAACCAAGGGATGTGGAACGTGAGATCCCAAACCGTAGAGAATTGGTTTTTGGGACAAGAGCTTTACTTCAGAGTAAAAGGCGAAGGACAAGAGAATCCAAAGAATATTCCGGTCAGAGACGAATCTCCGATACCGGAAAATTTCCTCCGATGCGGCAAAGTTCCTCCTCCGTGATCGAGATCATGGATCTCCGAGATTGTACGGATTCCGACAAGTTTGGAGTCTCTAGATAGTTTCTTTAGATTGTCTGGTTTCATATTATGTTTCCTTTTTTTTTTAATTTAAATCGAAATATTTATATTTATATGTGGATGGCGATTGATTGGTATTATAAAAAAAATACGGATTAGGATTAGTTCGGTTTAGTTTTAATTATACAAAATATTTGTGATTAGTAAATAAAACAAGAAATTTCTATCAAAATTTTGGTGTTATTCAAGTGATTAATAAATTACACATATCTATATAATTAAAATTGGGATTAAATGGGGTTTACATTATATTACAAAAAGAGAACATTGGATTCAGTGTGTCACATGATTTGTCGCGGACGACCGTCGCGAGAATTATTGTTCCAATCTCATCATTTGATTCGAATTTACTTCTTGGAAAAATACTTTTTACAAAAAAAAAAGGCAATATAAAGAAATTGGGTGTTAAAAAAAATCTGAAAAAAAAATGTAGAAATTTGATTGGTGTTACAAAGTTGTAGTTAATGGGCTCGTGGTGTTGTCTTATGGCCCAGCCCAAATACATTGTACTATAAAATATATTTCACTTTCATTTAATTATTTTTATTCATTTAGAAAATATCTAAAATTGTCACATCGATTCTAATTTCCTGTCTATCTCCCGACATAGACTGCTCATATGTTGGTCTTGCGATATAATATTCAATAATACCATTTTGGTCCCTTATAATTTGATATTTTTTTAAAATAAAAATATATTCGGTAATATTTAATAATGAATGAGATTTGGATTTTTGACGAGAAAGGATATTCATACAAGCTGAATTATTGCACTCGTCGTGTAAATATGGATTGAATCTCAGATCCCTTGAACACCCATGTGCTTATAACGTGAAAAATTTTAGACACTACAGATAGATTCTTGTAATTATTTTTCATACATTATGCATACATACACACATGTCTATGTCTATATGTTATGGTCACATTTTTAATATATAGATGCATACAACAACAGCCAATATTTTTTTTTTCAAAAATTAGGGACAATCTTGAAAATCCACATCTTATAAAACTGTACTTACGTTAAAAATGTTTTTTTTTTTGTCTGCTCGGGAAATTTGATTGGTGTTTTATTACTATTATTATCAGTATTTAAATATTCCTGAAATATAAAAACCTGGAAAAACAAAATGTAAATATGAAGGAGTGTAGGGTATACTGAGTCACAGGGAATAAAAAATCAGGGAGGGAGAGAGAGACGGTTATAGGTGCTTAGCTGGCAAATCCATCTCACCTCGCTGTCAACTTGTCACGATACGTCCCGTCAAAAAAAAAAAAAAATCCCGCCTCTCTGTTTTTTTAGTTTCGTTTTTTTTTACCCTCTTCCTCTCCCATCCGTTCGTATCTCTCTCCACTGTCCTCCATTTCTCTCTCCATCTCTCTCTCTCTCGATCCAAAATCTCTCCGTCATCGTCTTTGTCGTCGCCATGAGAGAGATCCTCCACGTGCAAGGTGGTCAATGCGGCAACCAGATCGGTTCCAAGTTTTGGGAGGTCATCTGCGACGAGCACGGCATCGATCCCACCGGACGCTACAACGGTGAAACCGCCGATCTCCAACTCGAACGCATCAACGTCTACTACAATGAGGCCTCTGGCGGAAGGTACGTTCCTCGCGCCGTCCTCATGGATCTCGAGCCTGGGACCATGGACAGCATCAGATCCGGTCCCTATGGTCAGATCTTCCGCCCCGACAACTTCGTCTTCGGGCAGTCCGGCGCCGGTAATAACTGGGCGAAAGGTCATTACACCGAAGGTGCCGAACTCATCGATTCCGTTCTCGATGTGGTTCGCAAGGAGGCCGAGAACTGCGACTGCTTGCAAGGTATATACTACATATATATATATATATATATACGAATCGTGTTTCTGCGTTTGCTTAGTCTTCGGTATCGATTTGTTTCGATCTCATCGCATGTTTCGTTATAATCGATGAATCGTACGATGCTTGGATGAGAACATGATTGGTGATGTGTTTCGTGTTTTGATGTCACTAAATGTCTCGTGTTTTGATGTCACTAACTGTTTCTTATAGTTTATCGTTCCGTTTTGTTCCGCATCTATGATTTTCTCGCATGTTTCATTCGCGGTAGCCACTATGATTTTGTTTGGATGAAAACGGAAGAGTATCATTGTTTCGTTGATTGATTGGTTCAAGGGATTCTGTTTTCATGTATACCTCAGAAATGTTAATGCATCTACATGGATCTTTAGACGATCTTGAAACTTTCTTTTGTCGATTTCCATCGGTTTGACTCCTTACGATGTTTATGTTCTCCGATCCCGTTATTCCTAATTCTTCGATTCCTGTTAGTGTTACGTTTTTTTCCCTTGCCCAAAAGCCAAAAGGTATCGATTCCTGTCACTTGCTTTCGTCATCATTATGTCTTGCATCATTATGATTCATAACTGTAGAAATCATCACGAATTCAAGGTATATACATTACGTTTTGGAGTATTTTCTTCTTTTGTATGTTTTGCTTTTCGTGTTCTTCATTGATTCTGCTTCAATAACTCACTTATTCAAACCGCATTATTGCTTTTTGCAATGAGCTGTGATCACTTATTGGTAGGCCCTTGAGGTTCCTTCACATTGGGATTCGTAAGGATCTGAATTGGATTCAATTTGCAAAAAAAAAAGGATTAATTTGATATCGTCTTCTAAAAAATATCTTGATTGCGACTTTGGAACAGTATCAGAGATGCCCTGGCTTCCACAATTCGATTTTTGGGAAAAATTTTCGCCAAAAGAGTTCATTTCATTTTGGAGACATTATTAACTGCGTCGGCAGGTGTCTCGTGGCCCCACTTTTTGTTTTTTGTCGCTGTGTAATATATAATACCAAGTAGTTTGTGGATGAAGAGGGTCCATAGCACGTGATAACTACTGTAATTTTTTAATGGCACTTGAGGACTGTGACATTGATACCGTCGAGGTGAAGCGTATTATTTTTGTGAATAGATTTATTATGGAAGTTGGTCATCGCTGTTGTCTTTAAAGTAGAGTTGATTAATTCAGGTAAATACTGAAATATCTCACTGAATTATTCGATCCGGATAAAAGGGTCAACGGTCCTTCATTATATCAAAGACATTGTTTGAACATAATGAATCATAGCCATGGTGTGGGTACACTGTCTGTCGTAGAAATAATGAAGTTGAATATATATATATATATCCTGGTGATTTTCGTGGTTATTTAGCCAAGACCCATGAGTACAATTAGCTGATGAGATTACATTTTCCTTTCCCCCTCTTAGTAGACGGGGTTAAAGAAAAGCAGTGTCTTTTTCCATTTCTCTCATCTGTGTCTTGATGATTCAGGTTTTCAGGTGTGCCACTCGCTTGGAGGAGGGACGGGATCTGGAATGGGAACTCTCCTGATATCGAAGATTCGGGAGGAATACCCGGACAGGATGATGCTCACCTTCTCTGTTTTCCCATCTCCAAAGGTCTCTGACACTGTCGTCGAGCCATACAATGCCACTCTCTCTGTCCACCAGCTCGTTGAGAACGCAGATGAATGCATGGTCCTTGACAATGAAGCCCTCTACGATATCTGCTTCCGCACCCTCAAACTCAGCACTCCTAGCTGTAAGTATACAATCCCGAAAAAACCCTAAAAGCCCCTCGAGAATTTGCTCCCCCCGGTTCAATAATCTCGTCCTTTTTTCCCTGCAGTTGGAGACTTGAACCACTTGATCTCTGCAACTATGAGTGGAGTGACCTGCTCTCTGAGGTTTCCCGGACAACTGAACTCCGACCTCAGGAAACTAGCAGTGAACCTGATCCCGTTCCCTCGTCTCCATTTCTTCATGGTCGGGTTTGCTCCTCTCACATCACGTGGCTCCCAACAGTATATTTCCCTGACAGTTCCCGAGCTGACGCAGCAAATGTGGGACTCCAAGAACATGATGTGTGCAGCCGATCCACGGCATGGGCGCTACCTCACGGCCTCGGCCATGTTCAGGGGAAAGATGAGCACAAAGGAAGTGGACGAGCAGATACTCAACGTGCAGAACAAGAACTCGTCCTACTTTGTGGAGTGGATACCGAACAACGTGAAATCGAGCGTGTGTGATATACCGCCAAAGGGGATAAAGATGGCGTCGACTTTCGTGGGGAACTCGACGTCGATACAGGAGATGTTCAGGAGGGTGAGCGAGCAGTTCACGGCCATGTTCAGGAGGAAGGCGTTTCTGCATTGGTACACGGGAGAAGGGATGGACGAGATGGAGTTCACGGAAGCAGAGAGCAATATGAACGACCTTGTGGCCGAGTACCAGCAGTACCAGGACGCGACCGCTGACGAGGAAGGCGAGTACGAGGACGAAGAGGAGGATGGTTACGAGGCTGCTGCTTGATCTATCTGTTTTGTCAGAAGGGAGGAAGAAAGAAAGAAAACACACACAACTTCGGTGGGTATTATATTTTAATGTCATGTCTCTTGCTTTTTTCTTTTTTAATTGCATTTGTTTGGTTGAAGCACTTGTCTAATGTTCATGTCTTCTTTACATTTGCCCTACTTCATATACATATATAAATGTGTTTGGTTCAATGCGGTAATTTATTTATTTTTACAAATGTGTTCGTTTTTGGTAAGTATGGCTTTACTCCCTTCTCCTTGGAACCATTCTATGCATCGTTATGATATTGAAGTTCCTTGTCCACCATAATGTGAGGGTGCGACATTGTTTTAAAATCCATCAAAGGAACTTAGAGAGGGACGAACAGAAAGCGAATACCTCATGGGTTTGTCATCGTAGTCGACTCTCCATATCCTTCCTCGCCGTCTCCGAGTCGACTTCTTCTTCATAACGGAGCTCAAACACTTCACGTCAGCTTTGTCTTCTCCGACCTCCTTCTTCTTCACAGAATTCTCATCAGCATCCACTCCGATCCGAAACCACCAGTTGGTCGGATTTTTGTTCCCTCGGTGGCGAGGAGACTGGCGAGGGCTCTTTCTCCGTCGTGTTCTGGTTCCTCGCCGTCATGAGTTTGGCCCTAATCCCAAACGAGAGAACGAGAACGACGTCGTTTTCGTTTACTAAACCATCGAAGGGCAAACCGGAATTCTGAACCGGACCAAAATTGAAATCGGTAACCAGTCTTATATTTCTTATCATACTAGGAGATTCAGATTAAAAAAAAAATCACTCGTGACCTTCAAAAACTTAAAGGAGAGTTGCGTATATGTTATTATATTGATAATTGGTTATCCTTTACGAATATTGTTTATCAATAATCTAAATTTTGGTTTCTAAACTAAACCGGTTTTTTCACACCAAAAGATCCTCTTACTTCCACGTGTCCTCTTTAGACAATGTTAAACTTCCATTTTTTTGAACTTTTTCAATGAGTGATAACCATTAACCAATGATGATGATTGGTTAAAAGCTAAATAACATGGTGTTTAAAGACATGATCCGTACCATTTCTCACTCGAGAAGCGAGGGAAATTGGCAAAGAAATCGCAATTCACACGCAAGGCAGACAGATCTGGCTGTTTATCATCGTACCCAATTCGATCGAACATCGAAAAGTTCCCAACTTTTGCTCTGAAAGTCGAAGAACGAGGGAAGACATCACGACGATGAAGGCGGCGAAGAGGCCGATCCACACGGTGGCTACATGGGTTCGACGGCAACCGCCGAAGGGGAAGACGTTGTGGATGGCGATTGATTGGTATTATAAAAAAAATACGGATTAGGATTAGTTCGGTTTAGTTTTAATTATACAAAATATTTGTGATTAGTAAATAAAACAAGAAATTTCTATCAAAATTTTGGTGTTATTCAAGTGATTAATAAATTACACATATCTATATAATTAAAATTGGGATTAAATGGGGTTTACATTATATTACAAAAAGAGAACATTGGATTCAGTGTGTCACATGATTTGTCGCGGACGACCGTCGCGAGAATTATTGTTCCAATCTCATCATTTGATTCGAATTTACTTCTTGGAAAAATACTTTTTACAAAAAAAAAAGGCAATATAAAGAAATTGGGTGTTAAAAAAAATCTGAAAAAAAAATGTAGAAATTTGATTGGTGTTACAAAGTTGTAGTTAATGGGCTCGTGGTGTTGTCTTATGGCCCAGCCCAAATATTTTCCTCAGGATGATTGTTCACGACCACGACAACCTCTTCGTCGCCGCCGAGGCTGTTCATGCCCTCGGTATCTCCGTCCTCATCTACAAGATCATGAAGGAGAAGACCTGCGCTGGTGAGTTTTCTTTTTCTGTTGGAAATTTTGAATTTCTGGGTTTGCGTTTAGGGCAGTGGAATTTCGACTAGATTGGTTCGGATCCGCTGAGATATCGATAATTCGGATTAGGGTTTGTGTTATGATGCCTTTACCTTATGACCAGTTTATCACATTTCCTGAAATGTGAAATTTTGATTGTTACTACTGAATTGGGAATTATCTGGAATTGGTTTTGAAACTGTGGTCGATGCTTGGCAGGACTGTCACTGAAATCACAGGAGCTTACGGCTCTGTTTCTTGCCGTGAGGCTCTATTGCAGTTTTGTCATGGAATTCGATATTCATACATTGCTCGATTCTGCAACTTTGGTGACTACCCTTTGGGTCATCTATATGATCCGGTTTAAGCTTAGACCCAGTTACATGGAGGACAAGGACAATTTCGCTATCTACTATGTCGTAAGTTGTTGTTTTTCTGATCTCGATTTCACTTTGTTTTCCCCTCGGTCCTAGTCCTTCGTCCCGGTTAAGTTTCTCTTTGATGCCTTGCGCCAATGATGAGATTGAAAAGGGTTATTTAGCAAATGTAATATAATGCAGGGTATGATATTAGAGTTACTAAAACAATACTTTTTTCTGAATACAAAATCCTTTTGAATCTTCCTTCGCTAATATAGCAATTAATTACCTCGTGATTCCTCACACATGAGATAAGTTTCGATAGTATTCTCGGTTAATTTCTTCCCGAGCTCTGGTATTGCCCTGGGTTATTTGGTCACTTGTGTTGAATGGTGACATCACTTAGCTTTAAGGGTTGTATTCTTGATGGATCAAATGGGTTTTTCTAGTTACTCTTTTCTTTTCTTCGTTGTCTCATCTTGATTCTAGTGAAAACTAGTGAACCAATTTGTCCAAAAATCTTGCTCTAATGTAATGTTTTATACCAAACAGTTTACCATGAAAGGCAAAAACCAAAGTTTAGGTACTTGTGTTAACATCAAAGAGATAATGATAGATGTTGCATGATCTTTCCCCAATTTCAGTAATAGTTGCTTATCGCCTTTCTTTGATGCAGGTTATCCCTTGCGCCATTCTATCTGTGCTTATTCACCCGACAACACATCACCACATAATCAACAGGATTGCTTGGGCTTTCTGTGTTTACCTCGAGGCCGTTTCAGTTCTTCCTCAACTCAGAGTCATGCAAAACACAAAGGTATTCAATTTCAATGCTTCGAAAGCCTGGAGTTTTTAACAGTTTCCCATCAAATTGATTGAATCGATTGCAATATGCATGTTTTTTAACAGTTTAACCAACAAATGTTCTATGGCCAAACAATCAATTATATTTTGTCCAATGATTCTTCATGATCTAGATAATGATTTGATCGACTTTCTATGGCGTTCTGACACTTTGGCTGTGCATTCTCTTCCTCAGATCGTGGAGCCATTCACCGCACAATATGTGTTTGCTTTGGGGATAGCTAGGTTCTTGAGCTGTGCACACTGGGTTCTTCAGGTTTTTTTCTCCTCTCTTTACAGTTCTTGAATTTTGATTCGGTTGATAGTTAATACCAAACCCATTTCACTTGGAAGAGTTTACACTTTAGCTTCGACTTTCTCCTCCCCGATCTTGGTGCAGTGGTGCTGTCTTTTTCAGACAGCATGCAGCTTCCGTGTATCCTTGCTCTGCCCTCCTCTTCGTACCGTTTCTGAGAACAATGTGGTAAAATGTTGTAGGTGTTGGACACACGAGGGCAGTTACTGACTGCGTTAGGGTACGGGTTATGGCCGATAATGGTCCTCATCTCGGAAATCGTCCAGACATTCATTCTTGCCGACTTCTGCTACTACTACGTCAAGAGGTATATGCGCTCTCATGGTCTCCACCTTTCTCATCTCAAAACTTAAGCCCCGCGTCTCGTTTCATCCTCACATTGAATCGTAATTTGGGTTTGATAATATCATGTGAAGGGTTGAATCACGTGAATGCATCAAAGAAGAACCCTTCAACCATATCATGATTTTCCCGGATCGAAATCTGACTAAAGCCCGAGTTTTATGTTGAGCAGTTTGATGGGAGGGCAGCTCGTTCTTCGTCTCCCCTCGGGCGTGGTGTAAATCCCGGGATACCGGCTGAACTTGTCGCCGGAAAAGTCGCCGGAGATGAAGGAGAATATGGTTGCACTCGTTAGAGGAGTGTAAAGAAAAGGAGTCGATTAGAGGTTACTAAGGTAATATTTAAATTTAGCTACTGCTTATTATAAATAAGCAAAAAAGAAATTAAATTAGTGCCAATATCCTTAGGCGAGGCCTCCCACGTGGGACGAAAATCTTCATTCTCATCCACATTTTTTTTTTTTGTATTTTTACAAAGAAGTATGTGTGTGTGTGTATGTATATGCTTGTATACGTACGTACATACATATGAAAATGAGTTTATTTTTTTGGCTGATAGCTGATTTCCATTGACGTCGACGTGGAGCGTTTCACACATTCATGAATATTCCAACGGGACCGTAGTGATATTTTACGTAAACGAATTGTTGCAAGTTGGGTTTTCTATGGCTGAAGTTGAAAATGTGAAATTGATAAAAATATTTTATAATTTTTTTTAAAAAAAACCCGTTTGGATTTGTACTCATCTATGTTTCGTTTCGGTCGAGGTCTATAATTGTGTGTAAATCCCACATAACCTATGGTACGAATTTTAATATTATCGAGTATCAACTTGAAAGACTATACGTGATTTTTTTTTTTGCCACCAATTTGATCTTATTAGACCCTAAGAAATAGTTCGCATAATATACAAATTAATTGTAAAATAAAAAAGTAATCAGTTGTTGGGCAATCAAATATGCTATAAGATGCCCTTCGGGGCAGGTCAGTCGGTTGGGAGCATTGGGGTAATTCCATGAGGTCGGGTCTTCGAATCTTATCGCATCCCTTTCTCTGATCTGTTCGCCTGTCAGCCTATCATAATGGACTGATTTACTTCCTATGCGTGTGTTGCAGGCTCGTACGCGTGGGCTTGGAGTTTGACCTGCAGACGCCTAAGCCCAACTACGGTCCGAGCGTTAGGCGTGCCTGGTGGCCAGGTTCGGTAGGGGACTGTTAGACGTGGGTGGTGGTCAGTTCGTCTCCGTTTGTAAGGGTAGATAGTCACGAGAGTTTTCTAATCTATAAAAAAAAAAATATGCTATAAGATACAAATATGAAAATATAAAATATAAAATAAGATATAAAGAAACAAAAAACAAGACAGTTGTCAATTAGCTGTGAAAAACACTTCATCACAGCTGTTCTATAGTTTCGTGATTTTGGACAGAGAAAGTGCTGTTTTTCCCAAGTAAAATGACTCTCTTTTTTCCCTAAAAATATAATTTATAAAATCCCTAAAATTTTCTTAATATTTACTAGCAAATTAGTTGTCATTATCTATATCAAACTTGACCTATGTGGGCCACTAGTTTTCTTTTTAGTTTCTTCTAGATATATTTTTCAGATATGATTTTTTTTTGAAAAATGTGAATCAAAGTTTAAACCCAACATATATCAAGAGCTTGTTCAAACAAAATTTATTTTTTTATGGAAAAATTTATTTATTTTTACAAGGTTGGCTATGAATTTTTCTTAAAAAAAAGGATCCGTATGTATGTTGATTTACCATAAATTTATGAAAACATATAAATGTATTAAGTTGTCATGAAAAATATGATATATATATATATATATATATATATATATATATATATTATGAACCCATTTTCGATGTTCCTAGAATATATAAACAGTTTCACTAATATAGATGTGGGTTATCCATATAATAGTCTGAAAAAGTAAACTCACACGATATTGCTTTCAAAAATTTCCCAACTGATTCTATTCATTTGTAAAGAACATGAATTACAACTCTTTTTTGTTCGAGCCTAATCCATCCCAAGAACCACAACTCCCCCTGAGTTTGTCTCCCCTTACAACATGAATTCTATCAGCCCATACACTATGTGTGTCTCGCACACCCCGTGTAACCCTAGACTCGTCTAGGCCCTTTGAGCGGTTCGCCTGTTTTTGAAGGCTCCCCCTCAGATGCACTTCACTCTCTCTCAAGTATCACTCACCCGTGTTTCCCACACCTATGATTCTCCAGCTCTTTGCTCTTTTCTCTCTTTTTCTGTTCTGCTGGGATTCCTTTCTGTATCTCCCACGTCTTGTATTTATGCATAGCTCCTCTTCTTGTTTCCAATATTTTGCTCAATATCTTCTTTTCCTTTTTCTTGGACTTTATTCCTTTTGCTTGATCTTTCCATTTTTCTTCAATGGCATGTTTCTTTTTCTCTTGCAAGTCATTCCCTTACTGGTTGTTCCTTCCATTTCTTCACATTGACCTGTTTCCTTTTTGCTTGAGATCTTCTAGATATTGAATCTTCGCTTGATGCTCTTTCATTGCATTAACATTCTCCCCCTTTTTGACTTTATGCTTATTACACACTTATGCTTGAATACACATTCATCCACTTGGCTCCTTGATATCATCCTCAACGATTTCAACCATGCATATTC